ATAATTTTTTTTTCCAATTTTTAAGATATATTTCAAACTAAAAATAATTTGGAATGAATATTTTGGTCCTCAATTTAGAAGAAATAGTATTTTTAATGACTTAATCACATTTTGGGGTAATTAAGATTTCATTGTACATTTGTAAAAAAAAACAAAATCTAAACATTGTTAATCTATTGCTAGACTTGTAATTGCAGTTGGATAGTAACTTTTATTTTATTCAGCTCCTCTTCAACTTTAGTTGCATGCTCAAAATTTTTTTCTGCTTGTTAGTGTATGCTTGTCAGCAAAAGAAACAGTCCAAGTGTGAGCTTACATATTAGGGATGTTAATATCAATAAGGTTTTGATTCTGATAATTATTATGGAGAAAGGACTAAGACAGAATGAATGATTGTCACCAAAAGAGACTAATGCACCCTCAATAGTATAGTCAATCTTTGATTGGATTTTCTTGATGCTGGTATTGTATGTCAAATGAGTATCTTTATATTTCTCTTAATAAGTATTATATAAATGGGATACACCCTAAAGGGAAGATGCAGTACGCTTCAGGTACAACGGGTGTGTGTGTGTGTGTGGTCTATTTTATGGTTCAGATGTACCATGCCCAAACTTTTTTTTTTGTTTTCTTTTGTCCTCACTTGATCTATCTACTGCCCCTAGGTTCCCAGGTCCACCCTAACTCAGGATAGTAGCACTTGTTAGGGTTCCAGCTATGGGCAAATAGTGAACCCCCCCCAAACAGGAGTCAAAACCCTATGAAAGTTTAAAAATAGATTTTTATAATAAAAATACCAGCAATACATTTTTGAAAGAAAAAACAAAAATAACCCACAATAGATTTGACAAAAATCCTCTTTACAAAACTGTCAATGAAACCTGATCTCATACAAACTGATTTCTTACAAGGAATACATATTCTATTCATATGAACCTATCCTAAAAATGTTGTTGACATTAAATAACCCATTGAGGTTGATATAATGTAAAATAAAACAAACCAAACCAGGAGGTGGGGTCATATTATCCACTTTGAGAATTACTGATCTAGTGGGAAGGAAAACCCTGATTTTAAACATCCACTGCTTTGTGATCATTTCCAAATGTGGAAAAGTCTATGGAAGTAAATTCAGAGAGAAAATCCAGACTGAAACCTCAAATGTGATTGGCTGTCAACAGTGACAACCTTCTGGCAATTTCTGCAGCCAGGTAGGTCTGAAATATATTGCCCTGTATTCCTTTGGATTTTGTTGATATGACCAAGAGGGAGCCATGTGGTTTGGGCAGTGCAAGGCCTACATCTACCAACACCCAAGCTGTTCCCTGGAGAGGTCATTCTAGTCTCACCATCAAAAAGACTGATTTTTAACAAAATGGAGCCCTACCTTTTTATCTTGTAAGATGATGGATACCATTTAAAATAGTGGACAAAGTGACAGATGTGATTTACCAGTAGATGCTGAGAATACCACAGACTAAGTAATGAGGAAGTTTTAAGGAAAATAAGAAAGGACACTTACAGTCAGAATGACAGTTGAAATTTCAGAGACATATAAGGAAAGAATACCTGGAGAATCTAACACTCACAGGACTTATTGAATGCAAGGCGGGAACCTGCTTAATGAGTTTTTGTAAATGGATGACAGAACAAAGAGGAATAGTAAAGTCAAGTGCTGCAAAAGCAGAAAGTTGTGGTGAGCCATGATCATCCACATCTTGAAAGGCTAGGGTTATGCTATATAAAAGGATTAAGTTTTTAAATTTAATGTATAAACGTTTGTAAAAGTAGGCAATAATTAATTATAAAAAGACCTATAACACTTAATCTTTTGAGCAGAGTAATTCAAATGCATGTTTTATAGGCGGAGTAATTCAAATGCCTTTGGTTATTATGTCTTTGTTCTGTAAAAAACGTATTTCTCTACCTTCTAAAAAGATGATTGAAAGTTTCAATAGGATCTATTATGTTCACACAGCTTCCAAAATTTGCCAAAATCACTTACTTCCATAATCTAATAATGATGTATTTTCCCTGGTTTTTGATACCTTTCAGCAAAATTGTTTTTTTCCATCACAAAAGAATGTCTGGGCTTTTAATTCAGTGAATTTTCCAGTATTTTGAATTTGCTAGAACCACCCACTTAGCAATGTTTCCTAGAGTGAAAGAAGTGATAGCCTAAAGATGAAAAGTCTGGAGAAAATAATAAATATTTATAACTCAGATGAGAAAATGTCACATGCAGAAGAATTTTCCATCCTAGTTCCATGCTTATTTGTTTTTCATTTGCAATATGAAGACCGGTATTAAAATCACCAGTTGACTTTCTTGTCTAAATAGTATTATTCTCTTCTAATGTGTCATTCAAATAAGCCAATTACTCCCTGTAATATTGTGCAGTAACAGTTTGTCACTGTTCCAATAATTTAAGAGTGAGGTTTCAAAAGAATTCATTCAACACAGAACTTTTTTTTTTTTTTTTTTTTTTTTTTTTTTTCTCCATTAGATTTGATTTTAGTTGAAATGTTGAAGGCTGTCCTTGATTTAGCCACATTTCTCTTCCTTTTGGAAAATCCATTTTCATGACCAGTTACTATCTTGGTTCTTCTACTTCTTTTTTTTTTTCTCTCCTTTTAATGTTGAACAAGATAAGTGGAGTGGAAACCTCTTTATTAGTGATAAAAATATTTTGTAGTATATTCTAAGTAAAACTGATCTAGGTCACTGATAGCTACTTAAAAGTTATCTCAGTCACACAACAGTAGTTTTTTTTAATTATTTTATTTACAACTAGTAAAGTTAGAGGTACTGTTTTACTAAAAAAAGAAAAAATGGAGTTTGCCAACTACAATCATGGAAGCAGTACTCCATTTTCGATCTAACTCTTGTAAATGTAGGTATTAGGTACTTAGAGAAGTGCTACAAGGAACTGATCATTTTCCAGATATGATGCAAAGTAAATATCCAATGAAGTAATAAAAAAAAAATTAAAGATTAAAATCATTAACACTTTCTTATAAAAATTCATCTATTGGCAAACATGGACCTTTGTGGCCACAAAAAAACTCAGTGTCAAAAGGATGGTTTTTTTTTTCCCCCCTGATACCTCTTTTATTTCAGCTACCTTCATATTTTGTGATTAGAACTGGAATAAAACCTAAACATATGAATGAATTTATACATTTTCTTTGTTCTTGAGAATTGGCAACAAAAACAATAAACACTATTATATTGTTTATTGGAATGGTTGGCAAAATATTGCATAATTGCCAATTTATTTGAACTTCATCAACTGGTAAATAAGGATTTTCTTTATAGTTGAGTCCCATATTTTAATAATTTAGTAAATGGTTATAAATTTATGAATAAAAAAAATTTCATATTTATTTATTTAAAAACTGATAAATGATAAATATTGCATTTGGTCTTAATATAATTGAATTAGTTTTTAGAATGTCAATATAAAATTATTCTTGTAAATAAGCATTCTAATAATAGTGTTTAATATTTATTTTTAAATTCTCGAGAACAAAAAATGTATAAATTCACTTTCATATGTTTAGGGGTTTTTTTTTGTTTTTTTTCTCTTAAAAGTATTTCTCTGAGCATTTATATGAGCTCATTAACTGAACATTTCTGCTGCAGTTGATAGATTGAAACTGAAATAGTGGGTACAGTATTTAAAATATGTAAACATGATGCGTTCTCTTTTGTCAAATATTTCTTTTTTTTTTATATTGTAGGTAAGTTCCATGAAAAATGTGGCAGTTCAAGGTTTGGTTACTTTTCTTTTTGTTACATTTTTAAACCTCAAACTTTTTGTTGCAACTGTTTTTGGGATTTTTTTTTTTTTGCTTGATAAAACTAAATCAATTTTCCTGCTTTCAAAATAAATGCTTTTAAATTTGATCAATAAGCATTCAATGTCTACAGTTTACACTTATAAAATAGGGGATCAAGTAAATCCGTTTTTCTTAAGGATTTTATATAACTTTCAGTGTGGGTTTTTTTTTTTTTTTTTTTTTTAATGGAGATAATCTGTGAATAGCCCCAGACCGAATCATTTCAAACCTAAAGGGAGTATGACCTGTTTTAATCTCTTTCAAGACATGTACAAGCACAGATGTGAAGAAATGGGACTTGATAATTTATAATTTCTGTACCACATCCAAAATGAAAATATTAATAGTGCTATTCTTTTCTCTCTGGAGGCTAGTGATAGTGGTGGTAGGGGATGACTGAGGATGATGACATAAGTGTTCATAGTTGGTATAAGAATGTTGGTGGATTTTTTTTTTTTTCCACCAAGACCATTCTTTACAGTATTCCAAGAAGGAGAACTGAAATTATGAAATGTATTAATCTGTTATGTTGTAAATAAAGATTAATCTTCATCAGATCATATAGACTGGCGCTACACAATCACAAAGTTTTACCAAATAGCAAAAACCACATCACTCAAAGACATTTAACAGCGGCAACAAAAGAAAGTGGGGTAACATCTGTTAACTAGAAGGTAAGATTATATAATCCAGGCATTAATTAACTTAAACAAAATGTTTGGAAAAGAAATTCCTATCCATTAGGCTTATGGCCGCATCATGTTGAAGCACTGATTCCTGTCTGATCATCAAAGTTAAGGAACATTGAATCTGCTCAGGACCTTGATGGGTGGCCTCTTGGGAATACCAGGTGCTGTAAGCATGGATATGCAAGTGGTTTAAAGGATAATGGCTTGGAATTGTTAATCAGTGCCAAGAATTTAATCTAAAAATATTTTCTGGCTTTAAATAACCTGCAAAAGGATGATAGGCTGTAGAACTTGTAGTTTAATTCCCTGAAAAACTGTTTAAATAAAGATTTTATAAATTTCAACTGACAGCATTAACTATTCAAAGAATGCTGAAAGTTTTCTGTATGGAAATGGCTAATTTCAACATTACTATAAATATGACATTTATCATCTTTCTATATATTAGGGATTATTGCCATATCATGTTGTTCTCATACAATCAATGAAGTTAAGCAATGTTGAGCCTGATCAGTACCTAGATGGGTGACCCCCTGGGAATACCAGGTGCTGTAAGTTTCAATGTAAAGGTGGTGGTATGGATAATGGCTAGGAATTGGAAATCAGTTCCAAACCTAGTCACCGTCCTGAGTAAGACAATAAACTACGTCTGACAGCAAGACCTCTGTTCAGGAGATTTTGAGGAGTGTGGAACCACCTCTTAATTGCTGGTGTTCTGAGGTCCACCCTGACCCAGGGTGGTAGCACCTGTTACGGTCCCAGCTATGGGCAAATAGTTACCCTTCTCCAAAAACAAGTAGCCAAAACTCTATAAAAGGGTAAAAATGGGTTTTAATACCAGAAATACTTGGTAAAAAAAATTATCAGCGATACATATTTGAAGGAAAAAATAGTACCAGAAATAGATTTTTTGAAGGAAAAAAAAATAGTACTAGAAATAGATTTTTGGAAAATGTTACCAACAATAAAAATTTTGTTGGCATTAAATAATCCATTGAAGTTGATATGTCATAAACCAAACCTAGTCAGGTTTGTTATATTCACTTACACACATATATCCTCTAGAGTAGTATGAATACACTTCTATGGGTTAATTAGTAAGACTTATAAATCATTATTTCCCAAAAATCTTATCTAAAAATATTTTCTGGCTTTAAATAACCTGCAAAAGGCTGATAGGCCATAAAAAACAAATTGATCAATCAATCTTTTATGAGTTAAAGCAATTTTATTTATATTACATCATAAATTTCATTGCTAAAAAAAAAAAAACATTCACAGAAATTGTTTTGTTATGCAAATACAAAAGTGACTTTATTTGCAACATAAATGTTACAATTAATTAAGCTGAATTAAACAAAAATAGTTTGGAATTGTAATAAAAATTCTTAGGAATAATTATTTCACAAAAACTCTGTTCTAAAGAAATGTTTGGATTTATTTGCATATTTACTTAACTGATTTTGGTCTCTGTTGTCAAAAGTGAAATAAAAGAAATGCCAGAAAGAATGGGGTGGAAGTTTGAATATCAACTCAAATTTCATTTTCTTATGAGAAAACAAATTGATCATATTACTTGCAAAGCGATTAGCCAGATTTTTAATGAGTTTCCTCCTCCCCACAAAATTGTATATATTTTTTAGATGAGGCTTATTTGGTGTTTTCAATAATTTACTTACCACAAAATTTGATGGTTTATTAAGAAACAGTGCTATTATGATTTTTAGATGTTGCTAGTGTATATCATAAGTGAAATAAAACCTTTTTCTGAAATATTAAATTAGATATATTTATATCTATCAGGGGTTGATCATTTTATTAATTTTGATTGTTTCAACTTGATATAAATATCAACATTTTAAGAGCAAATCACTTAAGTTTCAATGTTTAACCAAGTGTCTTTTTTGTTTTAAATTTATCTACTTTAAGTATTTTGCATGTTAGTTTTATAAAACTTTTTTTTTTTCATGACAAGATCTGAAAATATTGTAGGTCATCCTACATGTTAAAATGTAAAAACAAAACAAAAAAAACCCAGTTTTTATGAAAGCCATGTTAATCTAAATAACATTGTTTAAATCTCTCTGGCCAGAAGAATTATTTACTTAAAGACTTTATAACTTTAAAGATTATTTTTGGCAGGCAATTATAATTGAGTAGATGCTCTGTTTGTTTATTAAACAGTATATTTATTTTCATCTTCCAGCCTGAATATTTGAGAAATCTTGAAAAATATGCATTTTCTGGCAGGATTTGTACCTTTGACTTAAAAACTTTAAAATAAAAAGCTAACATCTTTACAGTGTATTATAACAAGTCTTTAGAGTGAATTTTTCTTTTTTTATTCAGATTTTTTTTTGTCTTGAAAGAAATAAATCAGAATTTTGTATCTGTAGGTTACCCAAGTGTTTTTAAACCAGATTAGATTTTCTTTATTTTTAAATAAACAAATATAAAACATTATTTGCCAAGTTAGAACTACAAACCTGATGAAAGTGTTACTTGTATGCTTATAAAAAATCTATTTATAGATAGACTATATAACTCTTTATAAGAGACATAATGTATTAAATAAAGTAAAAAATTAAATTCTCTAAAATTACCTTCATTTATTATTTTAAATATTTTATAAATTAAAATTTATTGTTCAGACATTGATATATTCAGGTGGAAATAAATTGGCTTATCAATTTTTGTTGGAACAATTAGTATAAATGTTTCTACCTTTCCTGTATTAAGGCTATTTACATGGTAAATTAGGCTTATAAAGTTTTAAGAGGTGATTTATGTCCTTCAATACATTCAGATTTGTTAAGGAGGCTATTATAGTAATTGTAGAATTTCAGAGCTCCAAAATTGTCTTTGAGAATTTCATTTACAACTATAACTTTATCAGTCAATATTCATTGTTTAGGTGGATTCAGTTTTACAATTTATATACCAATTTCTCTCTATTAGGCTTTGTTTCTTTCTTTCACTAACCTTTTTGTCATTGCACATTTCAGATATGACAAAATATCCATAGCTTATATTTATAGGATACGTCGATCAAAACTGCTTTAGCTTTCTTTCTTTCTTTGTTTCTTTTGTACGTCCCTACATCAGAAATATCTAGTGTTATACACCTGCTTGCATTGACATTACCAATATTTCTGTGTGATCAGCCTTGTAGATGCTAATCACTGAAAATAGCAGTAATCATTACAAGGTTCTGTTGTGAATGCTTGGCATGCTGGGATTGATATTCATTGGCTTGTGGTGAAACTGCAATATCAAGTTAATGGTGTGTCGACATCACTGTGCACTTGGGTTTCTTGTGTTAATGGTTCTTTCTCATTGTTTTTCACTCTCTTTTTTTTTTTTTTTTTTTTTCTCTTTCTCTCACTCTCTCTCTCCTTAACCGAACTTTAATTTTCTAAAAATCTGTTGTCCTCAGTCTTTAACTGCATTAATTGTAAACACCTTTTCACATTGTAAATTGAATTAGCAGGTACCTGCTTCTCTCAGTAGATTTTTAACTGCCTCCCATCCACCCACAGAACTAAGCTCAGTGCAGAAAAAGGTATAAATAAATTTAAATAAGAAAGCCACATTTTGAATGAGCTTTTTTTTTTTTTTTTTTTTTTTTTTAAAGATAAACAGATGTAACAAAAAGAGAATTTTTAAAAGCTTCCTCCTCTTACAAATTTTCTAAAGTTTATTCCATTACTTGAAGATGTATAAGTATTTTGAAACATTTTTAATAATTCATGGTTCTTAATTCTGTATATATCACTCTCAAGTAAGGCATAACATTTTTCCGATAAAAGATTTTATTTTGAATTTTTTTTTTTTTTTAATCAAAGTAGATTATGTAAATATGAAGACCAAAATAGGTTAATACTGTTGTTAGTGAATCATAAATGTAATTAGATACATTTTTATTGTTTTGCGATGTCAACCCTATCAGCACTTAAGAGACTTCAATTGTCAAATCTCTGGAGCCCTGACCGAATTGTAGAAGAAATCTTAATGTGAGGTTGGTGCAATGGATATATCTCAAAAATCATTGAAAATCAAGTTTCTCGGCTTTTGAACAGAGGTAGTGGTTTATCTTGTTTCCTGTTTAGGATTGGATTTCTGGTTCCCTCTCTTAAAGTCTTGTTCTTTCTTTATTTACTATTTCTTTCTTTGTTTTTAATTCAATAGGAATAGATAGATTAGCCTATCTCCCGGTTCACACTCCTCCCTGATCTTTTGAACAGGTCTTGCAGTTTATACCTTGTTTCCTGTTTAGTATTGGGTTTCTGGTCTACTTGAATTCTATACCTCTATCTCCATCTAAAAGTTAGAATTTTTATTTACTATTTATTTACTTTTTTTTTCTCCTCAATAGGAGTAGATAGATTTGCCTATTGCCTGGTTCACACTCCTCTCTGGTCTTTTGAACAGGAGTAGCAGATCATCCTTTGTTTCTTGTTTAGGATTGGATTTCTGGTTATTTAAGTCTTATTCTCTTTCACTCATTATCACCCTTTTTTTTTTTTTTTTTTTTTTTATTAAGCATTTCACCCCAAGCAAGGCAGGAAGCCACTAGGACACAAGGGGTTACAGAAAATTTAGAGCAAGATCAGATAGGAGTGATAGAAGAAAGGATGAGGAGGAGGGTAGTGGATAGATCAAGGCAACTGGAGATGTCGATTTGACATTACACTTGAATAGCTGGAGATTACAGCTCTCAGGGAAACTGGAATAGGGAAGGGAGTTCCACAGGCGAGAGGTGTGAGACATGAAGCTATTGGAGTAGAAGAGATGGCTACATTTAGGAGTTTTGACAGTGAAGGGGTGAGAACGGGATGCCATCCTCGTAGGGCGCTTGAACTCATGACGTCTGGGAACCTTGGAGCAATTTCCATGAAAGTATTTGTAGAACAGACAGAGAGAGGCGACTGCGCGTCTGTGAGAAAGTGACTGTAGACGAGATGCCAGAGTAGGGCCAACTACATTGAATATCCGCCTCTGGAGCCTATCAAGAACCCGAGGCAAACAGAAGGGGCACCAGACCATATATGGCAGCAATACTCCATGCAAGGACGAATTGTTGATTTGTAGATCTGGAGGATCGATTCTGGGGAGAAAAATTTCCTGGCAAGGCACAGGGAGCCAACTTTCCTTGCGGTGGACGAAGCAATTGACTCAATGTCAGCAGTCAACGTGAGACCAAGCGGCCGCAGAGAGTTGCTCTCGAGAAGTTGAGTGTCAGACATTCTAATGGAGGGCAGGGAAGGATCTCTGTGGTGATTAATAGAGAGCAGTTTTATTTTTGAAGCATTAAAGTTGATCAGCCAATTCTTGCCCCAGTTCACAACTGATTGGAGGTACTTTTCGAGACGCACGGCCAGGTTAGTTTTGTCAGTGACACTAGATTTGCTTTTGAGGCAGGAATAAATTGTGGTGTCATCCGCGTAGATGCCAACTTGGGAATTTATGGCATCAGGAAAGTCATTTATGTAGATAAGGAATAGAGTGGGGCCTAGGATGGTGCCTTGAGGAACACCTGTGTTCATGGGATAGGA